GGATGGATGGATGGATGGATGGATGGATGGATGGATGGATGGATGGATGGATGGATGGATGGATGGATGGATGGATGGATGGATGGATGTTTTCTTGTGCCTCTGCTGTCATAGGAACTTTGGACTTTAGGTACCAGAACACGTTCCAGAAGAACAGAATTTGAGTCCCACTTAAAGCGACCTCCTCTCTAACTGTGGACGTTTGTTTCTCATGAAGGAACTGGTGTGCGTTTGTCCTCACAAAGACAGTGAGCTGTGTGGTGGAGGATGGAGTAGAAACCTACGTCAAGCCGGATTACCATCCATGCAACTGGGGCAGTGGACAGTGCAGCCGGGTCGTGGTGTGAGTTAATATTGACCCATTTCTACCTGAAACTCTCAGAACCGGCAGACTGAGCCTCCATGTTTGGTGCCTCTGCAGCTACCGGACCTACATGAGGCCGCGCTATAAAGTGGCCTACAAAACCGTCACAGAGATGGATTGGAAGTGTTGCCACGGTTACAGTGGACAGGACTGCACCATTGGCCCAGCCGGTGGAGCAGGAGCCCATGTGTCCAATGGAGCGGGGACAGGAAGCAGTTTGGGACCCGGACAGAATGGAGGTAAAATTTAAAGCAGTTTGCTGAAAATCTGCAGATGTTTTAACCCTCCTAAGGTCTAGTTTTCATATTCCTCATGTTTCATTGATTTCCACTAGGTGGCAACAGTTTCACTGTAGTTGGTATGCGCATACAAAAGAAGAAAAACAACCTTTCTTCTATTATGAGGCCGTTTAATCATTGAGGGATTTAAACTGATCCCTTAGAAACGTTTCTAATTTATATTATTTATGCTAATGGATCCATCGTACTTGAACCTTTCCTTCCCGTCCAGGTCGACAGGACCGCCAGGAAATAAGGGAGTTGGAGGAAAAGATCCGGAGGTTGACGGTGAAGCTGCAGGACTTCCAGTCCACCATGGATGAACGCTTCCAGCAGGAGCCTTCAAAGCCAGGGAAACACCCGGCAGACGCAGCTCCGCCGGAGATGAAAGAGACGATCCACAGCATTCAGACCAAACTGGACCAACTGGACAACCGCACCAAGGTGACTCTGATTCCTGCGGGGTCCCACTGCACGGCAGAGGAGAATTTGTTTAAATTAAATACTTTGACAGAATCCCCACCTGGAAGGACATCGTTCCAACAGGTTGATGCTGGTGCTTCTTGCCCTTTGGGTCTTTGTCAGCTACTGTTGCTTCTGGCTGGACCTTAGTGGCCTCGCCATGTCTTTGTCCAAATACGTCGCTTCCTTTTCTTTTTAGGGCTTTCAGCCCAAATTACCCAAATTATCAAGGCAGCGCGTTTCACTCTAGTGAGATTCCTATTCCTCTTCTACTGGTTTGGCTTCTGGATAGACCAGTCCGAGTAGCGAGTCCCACCTGGTTTCTAGACGTATAGTGTGAGCAGGTAGATCGCATCAGAGCGTCAGGCCGCACAGTGTGAGGACATGCATTGTGAGCTGTGAACTCACACTGTGCGATGTAGCTGCATGCAACGATTGGAAAAATCGCACAGAGTATGCCCGGGTTAACAGGGTAGAACCTATTGTTCAGTCCTGAGTAGAACCTAGTACAGGACAGATAGGATGGATAGAACCTTGAGTAGAACATATGCTAGAACCTTTGGTAGATTCTTGGTTAGAATGAAGAATAGAACCTCAGATAGAACAGAGTCCAGCTCTTTGAGAAAAGCCTATGTTAAAACATAATTTAGAACCTTGCATTGGACTTTTAATAGAATCTGGAGCAGAACATATTCTGTAACCTGGGTGTTGTGGAATAATATATGTATATTCCTGTAGATAATGAATAAATGATTAACTAGAACTGGAATTGTAGTTAATTGTTTAACTTATTCAAAATCTGAGGTAAAATCATTTTGGTGTTCTTAGTTGAAAACCTGTAGCTCTAATCTGCTCACTTACCAGGGTTTTGTGCCTTTCACCTCTGAGTGGCTCCTGGGTCGGCTGTTAAAATCCAGTTATTCCCACCAATTTAGTGACTTTGGCTAGGCTATCTGCAGAGCTTTTAATAATAAAAGAACTATTTATCTCTGTTTATTCAAACTGTCACCAAACGGAGGGTGGATCTAACCTGAGTGATAAACCATTCGTATATGAAACACAAACGACTGCAAGTTCAAACAATGATGTCTTTATTCAAATAACTCAGGATTGTAGAAATCTAACATCTATGCAAAACACTAAACGCTATTAGAAAATAAACACAAGGTAGACTAAAGGACTAGTTTTAGAAGAAAGAGAAAAACAAGGTTCCTAGAGGTCGTTGAGGTAACTTATAAAGGGTATTCAGGGAGAACCAAGGTCAATACATTCATTAATGTCCGTTCCAAATAGCAGCAGATACAAATGCAATGATAAATACGTTAAAACAATGTAACTTCATTCAGCTTGTGATGACTTCTTTACAAAGGCATTAAAAATGCAGCATTGTGGCTCCTCAGTAAAACTCATTCAGCAAAGCTAGTTAGATAAAGGGGTGGAAGGATTCTTA